AACATTTCAATATTATGATATAATCTCTTTAGTGCTATAACTTGATCCTAGTGTTCGGATCTAATTAACCAGAAGATTACGTGGACCCAAACTGGGATGTACCCATCTTAAGGGGGGCAAAGCCCTATGAAGCATACAAATATAGAAATCCCTTATCGTGACAATGATTATCCAATCAGATACAAAAGAGACACCACTTAACTCTTTCGTAAACCATACACTTCATATTTCATACTCATTCCTGGTATATTATTCTATTTAAGGTTAGAGAATAAGGAAAAGGAATACAGCATATAAGATGAGGAAGAAAGAAGAAAATCGGTAGTGCCTTTTTTCTTCGCTGCCTGACTTCTGTCTGGCTCTTTAGTAGTGCCCCAAATACATGATACATAATACGAATAGTATAAGCAAGTAAAAATAGACAAACTAAAACTTAATGAACAAATTTTGACAAATGAACAGACTTGGACAAACAAACAAATAAACAAATGAACAAACTTGAACAAACTTGAACAAACTCAAAAAAAAAAAAAAAAAAAAAAACTGAAAAACACTACCGAATTAAACTAGGTAAAAGTTATACTACTCAAATAAACTAAAACAAACTATACTACTCAAATAAACTAAAAAAAAAAAAAAAAAAAAAAAAAAAAAGGGGAATATAAAGCAGTCATTATGACAGAATCAAACCTTTCAAAAACTGATTTAGAAGGTATTTTCCGGAATCTAGGGCTGTCTACAGAAGGAGTAAAAGCAGACTTAGTACAGCGATTAAAGTCGCACTCAAATAGAATAGCATTGAGAACAGAAAACTCAAACACACCAAGCGTCAGAAACTATGATGGTGGCACAGATGAAATTAATTCGGTTAATTGTCTGCAAGCAGCTGGCCTAGAAATGGGAAATGAAAGTACCAGTTTAAAGGCCTTAAGAGAACATGCACAACAAACAAGAAGGAATAATTCAAGAGAGCCGTTACTATCATTTCACCAAGATCTGACCAATAACCAGGATGCCATAAATCTTATGCCAATGCAAGGTTCATGTGGACAGCAAAATAAAGGCAGCTTAAGGTCAAGGAAACATTGGTTACCAGATGATAGTGGGGAAAACCCTGTGGAATTCCTGGAAAAGTTAGTAATTTCAGAATTTAAAAACTTAAAGGATGTGATAGCAGATTTCGACCATAGATTAAATTCAGTAGTAGGTTAGGTAAATAAGGTAGAAATAAACAAAGCATGGTCAAGTTATAAATTTGATAGAGCTAGGGATCAATATGAATATGATGCCTTGTGTACAATTAGCAAGGAACTAGATTTGGCATTGGATTCACAAAACACAGCAGATGCAGTAAACCATATTACTTGTGCTCGAGAGTTTGTGGCAGATAGATTGGTCACATTATATGTTGCAGAAGAATATGGGTGGGATGTGGCAGCTGTTCTGTCAAATACATAGGATAAATTACTAAAAGGGAAGAAGACATTAATTGAAAAGGCAAGAGTGTTAGCAGAGACACAGAAGAATAAGAAAAGAAAAACCCAAGCCTCTCAAGAAGATTCCACCTGAACACATTGGAACAGTCATCAAAGAAAGAATCCAAACATTTCAACAGCAAGATATCAAACAAATTATGGACAGTACTTTCAGTCAGGCTATCAAGCCTGAAATTGAAATTTGAATATAAGAAACAGATGTTATATCTGTAATGCTACATGACATTTCGCAAATACATGTCCATCAGACCCCTATAAAAACTCTGGACAAGAAAGAGGATTTGGTTATAGGTCACGAGGTTATACATCCTATAGAGATAGATACTCAGCCTCTGGTAGAGAAAATAAATGCAATTGACTATGCTCGGACTCAAAAATCAATACCAGTAGTGGAACGATTATATTGGGAGGAGCATTTAAACTATTGGAGGCAAAAAATTCAAGCTCCAAGCCTAGTACTAAGTTGGCTAAAAGGAGGCATACTATTATTTCCAAAAGGACTATTAAACTTAACAAGACAATCAGACCCACCGCAGTACATATTAGCAAGGGATCAAACATTGAGGATAGAAGCAGAGATACAAAGATTACTGGATACAAAAGCAATAGCATTAGTAGGAAATTTATCAAACTGACCATCACAGTTGCTCAAGGTGAGCCCAATATTTTTGGTGCCAAAACCTGGCCCAAAAAAGTGGCATCTCATCATAGACCTAAGGCATTTGAACAAAACACTTTCAGAAAAATCATTCAGGTTCGAAGGATTTAAACATTTTTGCAAATGACAGGAAGGAATTAGTGGGTGATAGTGTTAGATCTAAAGGATGGCTATCATCATGTGTTGATGGATTCAAAAGCTCAAAGATTGCTGAGGTTCAGAGTGGGAAGAAAATGGTATCATTATTATGTCTTACCATTTAGCCTAAGTTTGGTAGTATGGACTTTTGCAAAGATAATGAGACCATTAATAGGTCATTGGAGAGCTTTAGAAATATTCTGTGGAAACCACCTTGACAATATGTGTATAGTGCATCCATGCAAGAAAACATTAATTTAGATAAGAGATTCTGTGATTTTTCAGGATCTGCAGAAATATGTTTTCATTTTAACTAAAAAGAACTAATCCAAAAACCAAAATATTATAGGTTAATACTAAATACAAAGACAGGTCAAGTAACTGTACCAGAATCCAAAATAAACACAGCCTTAAAGAGTTTGCAAGACCTTCTTGTAGTAAGTCCTTTAACAGCATAGCACCTTTCAGTAGTTGTTGAGCAAGTAATAAGCTTAAGTCAAGCATTTGCACATGCAAAAACCTGATGTCTAGAATTTTACTCAATCATAAATGCAGAAAGTTGGAAAAAATGAGAATGGGACAATTTAGTACAATTAACAGCACAGGCCATTCAGGATATCAAGTGGTTGCAAGAAAATATGAAGAAGAAAAATGGCTGTCTAGCCTGGAGACTCTCTCAAATAATTCCAATTTATGTTGATGCTTTAACTACAGGCTGGTCGGCAATCTTGAAAAAAAAGAAAGCTTTTGGAAATTGGGAGAACTATCACAAGCATACCAATATTGCTCTTCTCGAATCAACAACAGCATTATTAGGTCTCGAATCATTTGTTCACATAATTATGCATCAGTGGGTTACAATATACATAGACAATTAGGTTGCACAAAAAACAGTAGCAGCAGGAGGAAAAAGATCATAGCAAAAGGAAATAATGTGTCAAGTTTGGAGCTTTTGCAACAAACATGATGTACAAATTTATAAGTTTTGCTAAGTGCCTTCAAAGCTAAATCCTGCTGCCAAATTAACGTTTCTTCGATGATTCAGATTGAGAATTGGCTCAAAATGTATACATCAAAATAAACAAACAATGGGGACCTTTCACTATAAACTAAATGGCGAGTTATCATACAAGAAAGGTAGCAAAATTCAACAGTTGTTATTATTGTTCAGAAGCAGAAGCTATAGATTGTTTTACCACAAATTGAAAGCAAGAAATAAACTATATTTGTCCACCTCTAAGCTTACTTCAAAGAATATTTGAGCATGGGTCCCATTGTCAAGCACAAGTTACCAGAACCATGGAAGAACCAGTATTGGGATTTAAGCAGTAAAAATTTGTTTCTAAGATCGTTATTAGAAAAAGCACATAAAACTATTAAACAAACATCAGCATATAAAAAACATCTTATAATGATATAGAATGAATTCATAAACTTCTGTAATCATCACAAGTTAAGTTTGTATCCAACCTATCTCAATTCAGTTATAATGTTTCTTACCTGGCTAGACTTATTAGAGAAATCTCATAACCTCCATTGGTATATTATAGCAATTGGATACTATCATCATCAATTAGAACTTTTAGACCTAATACAAAATTTTAATGTTCAATGTTTGGCTAAAAATTTATTAAAAAAAGCAGCTATAGATAAAAATGCAGTCTGGCCATGGAATCCACTTCTAGTTGAAGCTTTGCATAATTATATTGACAATCCACCTTTAAGAGCCAGAGAACAGATCTGAAAAAGAGACTGTGCATTAATTGCACTTGGTCTTCGTGCAATGAGAAGACTCTCAGAACTTTGTAACCTTCGAATAACAAATATTAATATGGAAGATGGGTTTTTATGAATTAGAATAAATAGATCAAAGACAGATCAATTTGCAAAAGGGAAATTCATACCAATAGATCCTATGAATTCACCATATTGCCTGTAAAATTGATTTACAAATATTTGAAAACTAGAGGTAGAATTAAAAACCTAGATTTATTATTTGAAAATATATTAAAAAAATGTATATCAACAGGAACAGTAAATGTAGCAGTTAAAAGAGTGGCAAATCATGCTAAATTAAAAGGAAAATATTCAGGACATAGTTTGTGCATTGAAGATGCAACTGGGGCAATGAAAGCTGAGTTGACACTACCACAAATTATGAGTATAGGTGGATGGTTATCAAACTCAGTAGAGCTTTATCTTCAGTCTTTTTCCATAGCATTGCAACATACATCAGTAAAAATGGGATTTTTAAAAAAAAAAAAAAAAAAAAAAAAGAATACAGAAGATTTATATAAATATAAAATATTAGGTATTATTTTTACTATTTGCGATTCTTTTTTGTCTCCCATTATGTGTTTTCATTAACTTAATAAATTGATCTGAGTGAGATTAATAATCTAAAGCATGATGATAGTCATTAAGGTTATTATCGCAAGGATCTTCACATGGATTTTCACATAGATCTTCACATGTGGAAGTAGAAAAAAGGTATATTATGAAATATTATTCTATTTAAGGTTAGAGAATAAAAAAAAATGAATACAGCATATAAGATGAGAAAGAAAGAGAAAAATCAGTAGTGCCTTTTTTCTTCGCTGTCTGACTTTTGTCTAGCTCTTTAGTAGTGCTCCCACCCAGTCCTTTCCAGAAAAAAAAAATTAAAATAAAATAAAATTTTTGTTTATGAAGTTGTGATACAAATACTGTACCTGATTCTCTTTATTTTCACTATGTTGTCATGTAAATAGTTTAGCAGAAATGTTTGTATAGCCTGTTAGTCTGTAAAGCAGATGTTGTAAAAGATGGAACATGTAAAGAGCCACAGCATGGCACAACTCCCATTGTGTGTTTTCATTAACTTAATAAATTATTCTGAGTAAGAATAATATTTTAAAATTGCATCAGCACAATATTGCACAGAATTTTTGGCTACATAGGATTACAACTATAGTAATGCAATTTAGCAAAATTAATTTTTTGTAATCACTGAATTGCATATTACATATGCCATCATATGCATTGCTATAGCACTTGCACTATGTACTAATAGAAAAAGTCATTATTATTAATGTTAACAGTCAGAAGATATGTCATACAATCTGTACTGCTTATATAATTTTCGAATATTTTCATAGTTTATAAATAATAAATGACTAATATTATGTTTTGCAAATCTGATTTACTGCTACGATTATCATTATTATTTATAATATTTGTATCACTATAGTATATAAAAACTTTGGATGATCAAAAATTCAGATGACCGTAATATATAAATTCTAATATATGGTCATCTAAATTTTTGATGTATAAATATAATACTATACAGTTTAACTGAGAAAATGATTGGCTAACATGTGAACAAAATTATTATTATTATCGTTATATATAAGCTTGAACTCATTTTATTCTTTAATGGCATCAAAATGCTGTCTGAGAATGAACTGAGTTTATAATATATTAACTTTTTAATGAATTGTATTGTTTATTTCATACTCTGACAGCATCTTGATGCTATCGGAAAATGAACTGTATACTGTATTAGACTTACCAGAAATGGAGTTTGTATAATGTATGGTTTACATGGCACATCCATAATCTGTGACAGGTTACATCACTAATTTTAATCACCATCATAAACTATTAAATTCAAAAGTTGTTTTTTTGATATTAGCTAAACAACTATTTATATAAAAAAAATAAAACCTTTAATTTAAAAATTAAAATAACGAATACTAAATATTTCTCTAATATATTATTATTAAGTAAAGCAAAAAATATATCATTTCTTAACTATGCTAATTGTTTAACACATTCTTAAATGTTTTTTTTTTGAAAGAAGATAACTCAAAATATTGAATTATCTTTTTCACTATATTATTTATTCATAAACTCATATTTTGAAGCAGTTTTGATTGTACAGTCATGATTAATATCATAAAGAACAATATTCAGAAGATTGTATTTTGTTACATAATAAATGGACTGGTCTTTGAATTTATCCAACATAGTTTATAATGTTTACCTAATATTTTGATAGTTTGAATTAATAACTAAAGATAAAGTGATGCAAGAAAATATCATTTCCTTCCATTTTCTTAATCCTATTTTATAAATTTTTTTTTTAAATTATATCCAAATTTATATAATCTGTGACATTTTATACTAAAATTTTTTTTATAAACTTTATCAAAAAATTGATTATTTTTAAAATCTTAGAAATTAGTAGAATTATTTTAAACTTTTAAATTGCATACTTCTGTTAGATAAAAAAGAAAAGTTATAAAATAACAAAAAAATAAATAACAAAATATGATTAAATTATTTTTTATATATTCAACCTTATTTTTATAATAATAAGTTTTTTTAATTACTAAATATAATAGTTTTTTTATCATAAACTAGGAGGCATAGTTGTAATAATTGAAATTAGTGGTTTAACCTATCATAGATTACAGACATGTATTTATAAACAAGTTAATATGTATGCATAATTCTTAGTACTTGATGATCTATATGACTCTATTTATTATGTATTATTATTTTTCATATATCATTTCACACCTTATACTGGTGACTTAATTATTACATCTGTAAACATATATTATATCTATTATATATATATAAGATAAATAATAATAAAATCTAAAACATCATTAAATTAAAGATGTTATAATAAATAGTAATTAAAGGATGATTTTTTAATATAAATACTGGTGGTCTGATATGAATTATCATATATGTTTATTAGATTTTAAGGATTTTTTTTTTTTTTTTTTTTTTTTTTTTAAGAGAGGTCTATTCTCTATCTCTTTTATTAATTAGTTAATTATACATATATGTAAGATACATGATGAAAAAACTATACTAGAAGAGATGAAAGTAAGAGCTACTTTACTCTCAACCTATTCTTTGCTAGAATGGTTGGTAAACCTCTAGTCTTTGATAAGCTGATGAAGTGAAGATTGTCCATACATAATATATAGTTGTATTTTTTTATTTATATAGAATTTGAGATTGGTATAGTTTTAGTAAGAGTTGGTAGTTGTATAGGAGATGGAATTGGAATAGCTGATTCATGTTGTATCACTCTAGAAGTGAGCCATATTTTTTTGTATATTGCTGAGATGATGTTGTGATAAACAAGAGGTGCATATTTATGTTTATGCTTATTGTTTTTAAATGTTGCTAAAGTGTTATTTGTTATTATTCCCAGTGGTATTTGTTTTTTGATGTGATTATAAATAAAGGCTTGAATAAATTTTCTTGTATTTTCATAGCGTAGTTTTAGCTTGTTTGCAGTTTCGATTAATGTATATTTTATCAATGTTTCAATATCTGGTTTATTTCTAATACATGTTAGAAGGTGTATAATAGTTTCTGATGTATTATAACATCTTGCACAGAAATGGTTTGGATGTTT